TACCCCACTCCTTTTTGGCATAAGAAAACATTTCTCCCTCTGGAATTAGGGAGGGAGTTTTCCTTAAAATAGTTACAAGGGTTTGCCTTTTAGTTTACAATATTTAAAATTCCCATTGTTTTCCAAAAGTAGGGAACACATGAAACAGCCCTATTCTAAACCCTTAATTATGACGCAAAAAAAAAAAAAATTGATGGCAACACTTTTGGGTCAAGGAAATGTACAAAGATCTCTTCCTCCCATGGAACATGAAGTAATTTAGTAAAACAGACAAATTTTTACCTCCATTTAAAAAAAGGCCTTTCTATTTGACTTTGAGAAGTCTTAGTGAAACTTTAAGAATCCATACCTAAAAGACATTAGAAATAACAATACCTTATGAAGTCTTATCTTTAAAAACACAATTTGTGCACAGAGTACATAGTTTCATAGTGTCCAAGTTTTGAAGTTGAGGATTATTGATTTTCTAAGTTGATCTGGTCTAGCCCATCAAGATTATAAAATATAGGCTATTGTGTTTTGCTGGAGATCATCATCCTGAATACTCAAATCCCAGACATTATGATTTTCAGCTCTTTTTTAAATATATTATCCTTGTCTCTGGTCAAACACTGCATTTTATTAGCATTTGACAATAAGGATTACATTTCTAAACAGTTTGCTGTCAAAAAACTAGCAAAGGTAACAAAATGCTGGGCTTAAACTCCAGGCATTCTAGATGAATTACTCCACCACTGAGCTACATCCCTAGCCCCCAAATCCTCACGTTTTTAAAAAAGTAAAGAAGGACCTGTATTTAGTTTTATTGGTTCTTAAATTCTTAAGCTGCACCCTTTAAACACAGTTGCACAAGCAAACTTTAAACGTATCCCAGGTGGGACTGAACAGAGGGACAGTCGATCTCTTCATGAGCCTCTGAATGATGAAGTTCTCTGTGATGAGGGTCAGAGAGACTTAAGGCGGAAGAGATAGAAAAATGCACCCCAAGTGCATTTGCCTTCACCTTGAAAATGCTAGTGGACTGTCAAGGGATTTGGCCAGATTAAGAAACAGTGTAGCCAAGTGTTTGTAAAAGTTGCAGCCTCTGTGGCGCTTCCAGTTCTCAACACAGCCGCAGTCCCGATTCCTCACAGTGGCGAAGAGGGAAGAAAGACTAATGCTACCCGAGATCTGCAGGCAGAGCCCCTTCCCTGCGTTCTTCAGGAAGATACCTGGAAAGCGGCACACAAACCCAACGACAGTGACCATCTTCCAACAAGGTGTCACAACAGCAGAGGTAAGAGTCGTAGGCTGAGGAGAGATGGACAAAAGCACGACACAAACTGCTCAGAGATGAACGCAAGGGTTCATAGCAGGATGGGAAGTGGGAGACCCCAATGTGGACAAACGTGAGTCTGATCACATGAAACTCAACCTAAGGGCGGAGTTCTCCTGAAGAGGTAGCGAAGAAGCCATTCTGCGTGTCCCAGGAGAAAAGTCCATCTTCAGAAACCTGCAGGCTGCCTGCCGACACCACGTGCGGCCCTGTGCTGTCAGGATGGGGCGGGTCCTCCTGCTGGGCTCTGGCTCCTGGTGCCCAGGGCTCCAAAGACAGCCTTGTTGGGAACACGCTTCCCCCTGGGACCCAGAGTGCTCTGAAAACACTACAACTTCACGAGAAGCCGGGAAAGGTACCTCTTTATAAACTGCTTCCCACATTCCTCAGGGAAAATATACAAGGCGGCCGAAAGAACCACAATTTAGACTCAATTGGGGAAAACTAAGGAAAAATGGGAATATCGGGAAGAAAATTTCTGTCAAGTAAGGAAAACCATTTATTTCCCCTTCCCATCATCTCAACAGAGTGACTCTCGGCATGTTGGCAAGTTTGGCTGGTTCTAGGCAAGGACTTCTAATGTCCAAGAAGAGCCCATTACCTTCTGCACTGGCCGACAGGGCTTCAGTGGGGTCCCTGTCCCTTTGCCAACAACTTACACCAGGGACGATCTTCCAGCCTCAAGCCCCACTGTTCAATGACTCAGCCTGGATCACAGCCTAATGGCACCTGAAGGCCTCTGGTCACCTCATTTAATAAATAAGCTGTGGTTTATGGAGCTGGACCACACTTTTGATCAAATAGCTTAAGATGTTCTGGCACCAGGAGCTCATTGTTCCAATGTGAATCAGGGCATTTCATTGTCTTTGGAAAAGGGGATTTATTCCTACAGTCAAATAACTTTCTGCTAGTAGGATTTTCCTAGATAAGCATGGCATGTACTCAATCATTTAAATTTTAAAGTGTGGTAACCTAGGAGTAGTAATTCTTCTCTATCTTCCCTAATCTCTACTCCTTAATTCTCTTTCTATAATCAAACTTGGGAAATGAGGTTGAATAACAATAGAATAAAATCTATTAGAATCATGGGGAAAAAGAATTATCCACTAAGGTACATCTATATGTCCTCGCCACCCTTTTTGAATGAAGAGTCCCAATTTTGATACTGGAGGAAGAATGGTCTAGTCTATTTTGAACACAATTTTTAAAAATTAGCCTCACATTCTCTAAAGCTCACCCTGCTGTTTTCCCTCTTAAATATTCTGCCCAATTTTAGGGTGTTAGGGAGGAGTTAACTCAGAAAACCCAAATGTTCCTGAAATTTCAAAGAAAAGTCCCAATGCAGACCACCATACTGACTGA